TGATTGGTGGTTCGTACGACTAGATCCTTCTAGCGAGTTAAATTTCAAATTGACAGCAACGAAGAGGATTATTCATTCTGAATGTGTATCTCACGAAATCCTTTCGACTTGCTCAGTTTTCAAATTTAGATGGAATTTCCAAGAAAAACGTCTGACTAAAGTCAAGGACGATGAAGCATACAAAAGATTGACGAAAGTTTTACTGCAGGCCAGAACGTTGGACTTTCTGAATTCAAGTCTGGCCAGAAGTAAAGCTGCCAGACCAATTATTTGGCTACTTAAGAAAAAGAGCAGTTTTCAGAAAAGGTTGCATGCCGGCGAAAATCTGTGGGAATAGGAATCACTATAGAAATGGGAGTATTGAGGCCGACAATCCATGCTTACCAGAAATAAAACGACTGGGAAGTAATGTGTTGAGAGCAGGAAGCGCTGCGATGAGAATGGGTAGTGGTGCGTGAACTCGTCCGTGTGGAAGCATATGCATAGCAATGCGGGCAAAGAACATAAAAATCCTACCAATTTTGTTAGTGAACATTGTTGTGTGCCATGCAACGTGCACTTACCAATAGCTTTTCATGGAACTGCAGTTATTCTTGAATTTGGAGATTAGTGAGCAATAGGGAGGCAAAACCTCTATAGCATGTGACCTGACCTAATCAGCTGCACGTACACCGCACACTTTTATTTATTTGAATACACCCGAGGGTGTGCCAGACCCAAGGAAAAAAATTTGAAATACGCAACATGGCACAGTGAAGATTTGAAAACAAAACAAAAGCAAAACCTAACAAAAAACATAGGAAAGGGAACACTGGGAACAAGAGCGAAAGAATAGGCTGTGAGTCGTAGTCTGAAGAAATCAATAACCTAGACTTACATTGTGACAGGACGATGCGATCATTTTCCCCTCCAGGTAGATGAAGAGGGTCCACCCCCGAAGTCCTGGTCCTTGGTCCAGAACGCAGAAAGATGACAACAGTACTGGAGCTTGCTGATACTCAACCCGTTACGAACGATTCGTAACGGCTTGAGTGCCAGCAAGCCTAATATGTATCGTTCGCCTGTGATATCTTTCAGTTCATATCCTCTGAAGTCACTTATAGGTAAGAGCAATGCTCCATCTATCCTCTTTGGACCTGAGTACTGAGTATCACGCATAGTATACGCGCTGAGTCTCCATCAAATAGGTTGAAAAGAAGGTCCTCTCACTGTTATGACTTTTTTTTATTTCCTAGCTCAACATAAGTACAGTGGAAACTAGTCAACAATAATTCGCCATTGTTAGCCATTACAGTGCTCCATTTGATGAGCAGATAATCCTTCCCCCTCTCCCAGAACTGAGGAGGCTGCGAGTAGAGTAAATCGCAGCCTCTCGACTGATGTCATCAAAGTTGCTAAAGTTTTCTTAGCTAAGAAAGCCTCAAGGAGGCGGAGCAGGTAGCAGTCGTAGGGGACTACGTCAGGAGAATATGATGAGCGATCTGGTCTTCCAGCCTTGCTCCTCAATTATTTGGTAGGTCTCCATAGCAGGTATGGGGTCTCGCGTACTACGAACGGTGCCCCGAAGCTAGTCTCGGTCATTTTTCTCCAACAGTTTCCACGGGTTTCTGGAGCTGAGCGACACAAATGGTAGCGGTGACCGTGTGTTCTTACAGGGCAGCTCGTTGTGCAGCATTCCCCTCGCGTCCCAGGAGCAGCACAGGAGAACCTTCTCGGAATACATGCCCGGTTTGGACTGCTAGGATGGATCTTCTCCTTGAGAGAGGCACACAGTACTGTGTGGATTAGAATCGCAGGGGACCCATATTATATCTGCGCTAAGCAATCTCCCAGAAACTCCTTTTGACGAGGGCTGGGAATGGAAGACTGAAAGGGGTGCAACGTGCGTCAGTCAAGGCATAAGTGATCCATCGAGCCAGTACTTTTCGGTAGTCAAGGACTCACAGGCGGGCGACGACTGTCTTTTCAGTACACCCAAGTCTTTCCGCAAAACTGTGGGTGGTAGCGGGTGGTGATCCCCCTTGACAGCTTCGAGAAAGGTACAGTCTTCCACTTCAAGGGGCCGTCCCAACAAGGTTTGCCTTCGAGGATCGTGTCTCCTTTCGCGAAGCGAGCGAACCAAAGGTGGACGTCATGATGGTAGTGGTGTCCTCCGCCAATGCACTGCTGATGTTGCGGACAGCTGCCGCTGCTCCAGTGCCGGGGCCACTGATAGAACATGATGACCCGAAGATGCTCCTGTGAAACTGACATCGTAACTAAACCCAGGGAAGAGCAGGCGCAATCACACACCTTTTTGCAGGAAAGCTCCTAGAATGTTCTACAAGCATCATGTTACGTGATGTTCGAGCATCAAGAAAAAACACTGTAAGCTTTTAGAAAAACACTGACAGGACTCTCTTTCCAGCCTAATATTTCTTATATTGAATACTTTTCACTCACGCATAACTATTTTTTACATTGAATAATTTCCACCTGCGTACAAATCTACTTATTAATTGATTTTTCTCTCCTGTTAATCATGTCACCCGTGGTAATATGGACCTTCCATCCACCGCCTCCACTGAAGTTTTTCGTTGTCATTCTCGTCCACTGATGACTTTTGTCAATCCTCTGCTCATGTATTCAACGTCGATAATGAAACTTTTTATTAGGAAGCATCTTGTTAAAGACGGTCAGCATCATAAGATTTTGTGAGAGGTAACAAGATAAAACATTGTGTAATCAACAATACGATAATACAGAAATGAGTGATTAGCAACAACTGGCAAATCTGAATTATTTGGCAAACCACTTACTTCATCATTGGCCTGAGACTTTTCTTCGCTTTCCTTGCGCGCCTTCTTTTCAACGGGATATTCCTTTTTCTCCCATCCTCGATTTCTTGCTTTTTTCCCTTCCTAAAAGTCAATCTTATGCTTATTCGAGCTCTCAATTCATTATAAGTTATTCAGTTACATCACATGATATTGATGATCGTCTGGTTGAAGGATTCTGTTGTTGCTTGTAACACACTCTCTAGTCTCAAAGATTTCTATTTGATTGTGCCTTCCTGAATTATACTGTACTCGAAGTTTTCGAACACACGACATTAACTATTTATCTTACCAGATAAATTTGTGTTTCAGATGGCGTCAGTAATGTTTTCATTGCATTTCCGTGCCAGTCTTTATAATCTCAACCCAGGATTACGGCTAATATTGTGCACTTGAATACCTGAAACTGACCAATTCACATGTACCTTCTTACCTCAACGGATGTATATTTACAACTTACATAATATTAGGTTGATATACAGCATGAATCAATCAACCCACTATGGTATTATTATCTTTCTTATCCTTGATAGTTAGTGGACTCCTTTAGCCACTATTTCTAGGAACGGTATCTTCTTCTCCATACAATAGCATAGAATTTTCTGAATGGGATACAAACTAAAATCTTCCAATTAAAAATAAAAGGCTCATTACTACAAACTTGTATTAATGTTGAACATTTACCTGAAGTTCTCTGAGCCACCTCTTTTTATGGTGTGGCTTCGAATCAATTTTATTCTCGGATTGTTTGCTTTATTATAATTCGCAAGGTTAAAGCGGCCCCTTAAAAGAATATTATCAGAATAATGGGTATATTACCGCCTAATATTAACTAATTAGCTTATCACGTTCTGCCTCATGATACTTTTAGTGAGGACTTATCTGCAAACCGGTCATATCGCTGGTATAGCCGGCTCCTCTATACCTTCCAATGGGGGGAGGGGTAGACCCTGAAACTAATAAAAAACCTCATTGTTACAAGTTCTTACTTTATTTTGAATATACATTATATACACTCACCTGACTACCTCAGATAAGGATCTTTTTACCACTTCTTTCAGTGGTTTCTTTACTGGTTCAACGTAAGGAGAATTCTTACTTGTTTTAAAATCATGAAAGGTTGGCCCTCATGGTCTGATCTACATTTGGGATCTAATCACGGTATCTGGAAAATCAAGCATAAATAAATAAATAAGCAAATAGTGAATAATCCGTACATAGTTACGTTAGTATACTTCCAGAGAAATGGGAGGAACTCCACAATAAGGTGAACCACAATAGTAGCAAAGAAATTGACGATGGGCCTCCTTCCAAAAAAATTCTCAGACCTAAAATAATGAATTTTCAGAACAATAACCCAGTATTGTCGTTAGGTGTCGTTAGGAACACCGTTTGCGACGCAGTATTGGTCACACATAGCATACATAGCAATTAATAATATCATCCACTGGAATTATTCACCAATGTCTATAAATTTCATACTGACAGAAAGTACTTGTAGCCTTCAAATATATATTAACATAGTTTCCTATCTTATTAATTCTATATGCAATACTAACCTGAAATTAATCCTATTTTATAAGGTAGTACACAAAACACTTATGCACCCACCTTGTAAAATTATGTCCAGCTCTAGCTGAAAATACAGCAATGATATCATTGGAACAATGCATTCCATTCGATTCTAAACCAATAGTCTAACCAGGGAAGGCCACCAACTTACCATGGAACTTTGAATGGAGACCTGGGTGGATCGATAGAGTCTATAAGGCTATTAACAAATATAGATAGCAAAACTGCAACTGCATTCCACAAGCAACTTATGAGCAGGTAAAGTTTGTAATGGTGCAGTAGGGTGGAGGCTTGGTGGTGAGCTGTGAAGCATAAGCGAGGAATCGCATACGTCGAATCGAGTCGTGGTGGTTCAGTGGTAAGGTTCGACGTTCGACGACTCGATTCGACGTATGCGATTCCTCGCTTATGCTTCACAGCTCACCACCAAGCCTCCACCCTACTGCACCATTACAAACTTTACCATAAGTTGCTTGTGAAATGCAGGTTGCAGTTTTGCTATCTATATTTGTAAATAACCTTATAGACTATCGATCTACCCAGGTCTCCATTCAAAGTTCCATGGTAAGTTGGCGGACTTCCCTGTTAAGCGACAATCCTGTTAAAACTCGCATGCCCATAAAGGTCGAACCAGCAAGCAATCGATGGATCAAGGACGACAACCACTTGAGAAAGTTGAGAAGGATCGAAAGTGAGCAGGAGGAGGCGAAGGAAATGAGAATGCGAAGGTCACTGCAGTTGAGATGGGTGGGGGAACTGCTCCACAAAGAAGTTAAAGATAAATTGGCAGCAGGTAGATCAGCTTAAGCTTTGCAGTTTTGTTCTTTACAGTTTTGTTCTTTGCAGTTTTATTTTTCTGGCAAACTTGCAAATTTGAGGCATCACCGTGCATGCATGACGAAAACCTTCGTTACATGGCGATTGACTTGTGCCGGCGAAATCAAATTGAAGGTTTCAAAGCAAGTCGAACCTGGATAAAAGCTTTCAAACGGCGATATGGTATCGTTTCGAGGAAGATAACGGCGTTCGTCACGAGAAGGAACCATAGAAGCCGTGAGGAGATCGAGCTCGAGGCAGCGCAGTTCGTAAGCGTCGTCAGAAGAGAAATGGCAAGCAGGACACTGGCTTGCTTTTGCAACGGCGACCAGTCGGGCTTTGTCAAGGAGATGACAACAGCGAGATCACTGGCACCCGTGGGAGTTAAGAAGACGAGCTTTTTCTGATGAGGACACCATCTATACACACAGTTGACCACACCAATCTTGAACGGATCGTTGAGAACAGGGCGGCTATGACGCAGTCCTACACTGCCCTTCCACTTCTTTACGCTGACGGCAGACTAGGAGAGAAACTGTATGTAGTCCTGCAGGAGAAGGGAGGAGCGTTTCCGTGGGGCACTTCGAGGCAGCTAACCTTGTGGTTAGAGCGAATACAACGCATATTATGACGAAGGAGCTTATGGTCGATTGGATCAGAACGTGTCTATGCAACGCCAGCGGTACCCCGGAAATTCACCTTATTGTGGACTCCTGGTCGCCCTTCCGTGATATCAACACCATGGAGGAAGCCGCACCTGGGTGGCATAGTGCAATGTTGCTTCAGGGCGTCGGTCAGTTCTTGATCATTACAGGCTGCAAGTTGACCGTTCACAATATCCCAGCCGGCGCTACGTCGCTCATACAACCTCTGGATGTGTTCTTTTTTGGCCCCATGAAAAATGTTATGAAACGGATTAGGAACCTCGGCGATGGTGAATAATGTGGCGTTCAACATGACCCACAGAGACAACATACTGAAGGTGTTGTCGCAAGTGTACCGGATGTTTTGTGCCCCGAGATTCTCTAATTTTCTGAAATATTCGTGGTACAAAGCAGGTTACATTGATCATCACCCAGGAGCTTTTGACACTCCTGGTGACTACTTGTTCAACCTTGAAACGTCTGACTGTTTCGTCAACGATTGTAGAGAAACAGCATCCATTAGATGCGCAGTGTGCGAGCAGCACATCTGCTTCACTCATTTTTTGAATTGTTTCATCAGTGTTGAAGCATGAGTAACGGTCTACCAGGTTTTTTGCAAAGTCAACTGGATTTTTCAATGTTTTGAATGAAGTACATCACGCACAGAAAGTTCCGCAGTTAATATACGCCAAGAACGTGAATCAAGTGATGTCCAGGTGTCAGTCCGTACGCAAGTCAAAAAATCAGGTAAAAACCAATGGTGCAAAAACTCCGACGCTTCCGGGATCCGAACCAGCATGCCGTGCCTGCGAAGCGAGAACCTTACCACTGAACCACCACGACTCGATAGCCTGAAAGCCATTCCTTGATTATCCTTCACAGCTCACCACCAAGCCTCACCCTACTGCACCATTACAAACTTTACCTGCTCATAAGTTGCTTGTGAAATGCAGGTTGCAGTTTTGCTATCTATATTTGTAAATAACCTTATAGACTCTATCGATCCACCCAGGTCTCCATTCAAAGTTCCATGGTAAGTTGGCGGCCTTCCCTGGTAAGAGACTTCTACAGTTCAATAAGAAATTCCTGAAACATTTTTATATCATGGTACATTCTAAATGAGTAAATCTAATTTGGTACGCTTAGCACTCGCTTCACTACTTTAATACGCAGATAACATTGAAAGTTACGAATTATTGAAGACCATAACTAATGCTAATGACATACCAAACGTTCTGGATGCTTGGATCTTCCTGAGTCACAGTACTTTTTTCAGAGTTGTGACGCCGAAATCTCCTTCGAGATATTTATTTAACCGGCTAACGGCAGAGGGCCTACATCGAGGTTATCGGTGTTTTTCTTCAGTTCACGTGAGGAATATTTCTCTTTAAGTCGTATTTTTGACTTGCGACACGAGACCCATTAGTCACGCTCAAGCAACAGTGATTGATCAACTGACTTTGTAGTGGCTGGAAAAACGTATAGAAAAACATCAATATTTGGAAATAGAGGAGTCCTCTAGGACCGAGTCGAAAGCGATGTGGGGCTGGATCTACAATGACGCCCTTAGTTGACAGTTGACAGTCGGAAGGTATGGAGTGCTGCGGGCAGAATCCATATTTCAACTCTGAGTTATCTATTTATTGATTCACAGGTTCTGTTTGCAGTTCTTGAGAGCATCTGCTTCGAATTTGACTGAGGGAAGAGAAAAAAATTTTCCTCAGCCCTTGTCGAGATCCCTTCCCTTTTCTCGATGCGGAGCCATCGACCTCGATGGCAGTGAATGCATGCGAAGAAAGAATAACAAAGAATATGGGATGGTGGGATGATTTCTTGCAGGGCGTGAAACTCACTGTGTTAGTGGATTGGTTTTGTAGATCCTACCAATATAATAAAAGGGGCCGCAGATTCACAACACGCAAAGGATCAAGAGAAGCTGGGATTGCGACAGGACAGGTTTACTTTGTTCGGTGCGCATTTCAACGATGTGGTCCTGCCACGTCTCGGATTCAATTCATGATATCCATGAGAATGGGTGAGGAACTTTAAGAAAAGGATAGAGAGTGCGCGTGGCAGTACGCGTATCGGTGAAAAAATGCGTCTATCGCAACGGTTCTTCTGACGGCTCCACAATAGTATATAATCCTAAGCATTCTCGCCTATATCGCCTTCGCGTGCGGTAAGTTTTTCTACATCTCTGCTACTTTGCATTTGGTATTTCTTTCCTTTTCTTTACTTTCTGTGGAAATCGTTGTCATTCATCTCTTCTTGTGTAGTTATTCAGAGAGTTCCTACTGCACGTTCTCACCTGCTGCCATCTGCATCGTAGTCTTAGCTCTGGTTCTACTTTAATCGAAATTACCGACTCTTTTATCCCTTCTAGGATTGTATCTTATCGTTCAAGATGTATCGCAGTCTCAGCACAAATCGATGGACCGTGGAGGTGATGAAGAGATCCCATTGTGTGCTTCTGCGATGATGGACCAATACGTTGCGTGCGCTGGTCTTTATGTATTGTATCATGGATCAGTTTATTGCTCTGTGTTACCACTCTAGCACTGTAATTTTAACCCATTGCGTACCGCGGCGTTTTCGCGAAAACGGGCGCCTGTGGCCGAGCCATATTTCGCAACCTCGCCGGCGTGCTGCACATGGTGCAGCACGCGGCCACGCAGAGCGGTATTTCTCGCGCCCGCAGCGAAGTATAAACTCAACGTACGTCATTTTTGCTTCTCCAGGCTATTTTTTTGGGAAACCTACCCCTAATTTATGGTAGCCGTTCCAGATAGGCAATGATGGACGCGCTGAATAGATCGTTTGATGAACTTCTGATTGAAAGTGACGACGAAGTGATGGGAAGGGCCCTGATACCCCAGAAGATATGGTTGTCCGCGTGAATCATTCAAGTGATGAGTCCGATTGTGAATCAAGCGACGAAGGCTCAGATACAAACGATGGAGGACTCAATGGACCCCAAATATCAGCAGGCAGAACAATTTTGACTTATCAAGGTTTCGGTGGTGTACTGGATGAAGATCTTCTATCTTACCAGTACCCAATCCAATTTTCCGGCGATTTTTCACAGACGATCTCGTTGTTTTGATTGTAAGAGAAACCAATAGTTATGCTATGACAAAGTTCTCAAACTGGATTAATCTCGACGAGGGCGAACTACTGAATTTTGGCGATTTGTTTACAAATGGGACTCGAAATCGTGTCAAACCTCAAAGATTACTGGTCGACGAGAAAGATGTTTAGTGAGTCGTTCGCAGCTCATGAGTAGGAACCTCATGAGTAGGAATCGATTCATGCAGATAATGACCTGTGTTGGTAGGTTGATGGACCGAAGAGGAGCTCGGGGAGGGGGAGGAGATGCGTCTCATGCTAAAGGCACCGTTCACGGACGAATGGTGCTCCTGTACGCTAGAAACCACACAATACTAGTGAATACAGGATGCACAACCTGCGATCAATATTTCTGCATTAAGTGTTTCCACACATATCATCAACGGTGTCCTGTTTAATCCTTTATGAGTGTTTATGAACGTTGAAAATAAATGAAGAAGATCGCAATTGAAGTATTTCATGAAAGAGGTCAATAACCCAAGTGCTCCTTCAGCGATCGAGGTCCCACGTACTTATGTTGTTCTCCGTGTCGAAAACATATGCTCGCAACTTTGTAGCAGAAAAGGATGCAAAATAATCCAGATGGAGCGGAAAAATCATCGTGCTGCACCATGTGCAGCACGCGGCCATACAGCGACGAATGAGCGTGCTGCACATGGTGCAGCACGCGGTACGCAATGGGTTAACCGATAGCAAATCATCAATTATTAATCATTACTTTATCCAGCCAATCGCTCGCTGGCACTTTTTATAAAATGGATCAGGACGTTGGCATCGCTCCCGGCGGGTTACAGTGGATCCTTATTGCATCCAGTCGACTTCTTTATTGTTAATTTTCCACTTGCTCAGTCAAACATGTGTAGTCACATTCAATGGAATGGTCCGTAGGGGTTGTCGTGTTGTGCTTGTGCTTGCTTGTGCGCTCTTCGCCGCAACTGCTCTCCTATAACAGCGACAGGATCCAGCCATCCTCAGGAGCTTCATACCGCACTGCATGTTCCGACGCATTCTGCCTCCTTGCTAGCATGTTGTGGCCAGGAGAAGTCAGATAAATCAGAAAAACTCACCAGCACAGAATTACCAACTTTTGTCGCTCTGTCTGGGCTCCAGTGACATGGCATTGTGCGGTAAGGCACACCTCCGGCATAATATGCCTAATGTTGATTCTACCACATGCCGAGCACTTAACATGAGTGCATGTTATTATTATTAGCACGGATAAAGAATACAAATCAGCACCTACCCGCTATGCTTTCGGCTGGATGCTTTCGCCCTTTTGACAGCAGTTGAGCATACCAACTTGTATTTATCTTTCTCGTTTTTCTTCAAGAATGCACAAGATTGGATGGCTTTATTGGGCTTACGTTTCGGCATCTTTGCCATTGAAGAGGGTGAAATAAAGAAAACCAGTTGTGAATTGTCTCTCCATCACACCTCAAGATAATCTCAGGCTAGTAAATCGTCCAACGATATCGATCAAGAGACTGGTGACTCACATTGTTCAGCCGCCGCAATGCAGATCAAGCCCCATCAACCGTGAATTAATTAACCGTCGTCGACCTCACGGTAGGTCAAAATCTGGTAAGGTCGAAGGTGTGATGGATTGAGGAGTTGTGGCTAGAAAAACGTGCGGTTAA